ATTAGTATACTCCAATACTTCTCCTCTTTATTGCTTCCATTTGATGAGTCCTCAGCTGATAGCAGAAATTCTTAGCAGCAGTCTCCAAGTGCATAACCTTGCACATTATTCATCTGAATCGCATTAGTTTTCCACTTCCCTAATAACCAACGTTGTAAAGTTCTTTCTTAATATTCTTTGCAAATTCAGCCTCAATTTAAACAGTTTTTATTCCTGCTCTACATTCTAAGAAATAATTTTATTTGCTGATCGGTATGTTTTAATTCATTTCTGTTCTTTTCTATTCCTTTTAGCTATTAATGTATTTCTAAAATTCTTCTATGAGTAACTATCCATTTAGGTCTGGCATTATTTCTGGAAGTCTTTTCCTCCTTAGTTATAAATTCTTGGTATGTTAAACAAATGTAAATTCCATTTCAGTTATCCACTCCATTCAAATTTCTGACCAGTTCAGACTGGTTGAGTTATCACTGCAGTTTCTCTAGCTTATCTAAGCTCACTTTTCAAGTCAAGCACTTTACTTGAAGACATACTTTTATTTGTCTTTCCATTTAATCTAAACGGAATCAACTTAATCAAAATCCCTGATCAAAATTTACAATGACTGACTTAACTGTAATGTCCTTATTATTTACCCAAACTAAATATAAAATAGTACAAAACCCTCTTCAAAGGGTTGTCGATGTATTTTTACATCTCTGCTTAGTGTAAAATACTCGTTGGTCCTTGAAGATCCCTGAAATTCCCTTTCCCATGCGATTTGTACAATTCTTTGTGTACACGCATGTTCTCTTCCATCCCTTTTAGTCCTACAGATCATAAATTCTTTGAAACTGGGCCACTGTGGAGAAAAAGAAAATGTGCTTTTCCCTTTAGCTAGGTAAATAGTATGTTCTCCTAAGTTATGGGAAATGTGAGATGAATAAGCGAGTTTTACAGAGATGTGACCTTAGGTCTCTTTTCTGTATTAGTACTCTTTTAGGAACTAGTTCCTAACAGGTGATAAACAGAACACATCTAATAAACTTCACTGACCTTACTCATTTGTAGAACGTGGCTTTTTTATAGTGTTTCTTTTATCCTACCTCAAGGTAGCGGGATTCCTTGATCAGCAGGATTTTGAAGCACAGAGAGGATCCCTGCATGCAAAACAGTTCTGGGTTCCACTCCAGGGAACGAGTACCCACAAGTTAAGAAAATTATATTAAGAATTACTTTATTAGATCTAGTGCCAAGTGGCTTAAAAAATGTTTTGCCTATGTCTAATACAGCTTATGACCACACACAGCAATTTTAGACTGATTGGATAATTTTTAAAAAAGGAGCAAAAGGGAAGTAAATGATTAGTGAACTGATGGATATTCTGTATAGGCTTTAGATTTCTTATTGGAGTATGACAAGCTTTACAAACCAGATTTGAAACCTTAAGCGAAAATAAAAAACATTATCTCGAAGGGAAAGGGGAAGAAATGTAGCTTTCTTTCAATTATTTTGTAATAGGAAAAGATCTTCAGTGATAAGTTAAATTGAAAAACAGGGTGTATTTCTGAAAGGAAAATAAAATGCAAAAAGGTTATCATCTCCATATAGTGAAATGTTATGCTTTACGGTTATTGTAATGCCTAGTGTTAGCAAAGCTTTTCCAACAATGAATCCTACAGTTGTGCTGGGTTTGTGTGGTGACGTTCTGGTCATGGGGGAGGGGGCTACAGCAGTGGCCCCCTTGTGAGAAGCTTCTCGAAGCTCCCCAGGCTCCAAGTCAGACCCACCTCTGGCCAGGGCCGAGCCAGTCAGCGGCGATGGCTGCGCCTCTTTGAAAATGTACTGAAGAAGGGGAGCCTGGGAGGGGGTTGGGGGCTTGTGAGGAGTTACGAGAAGGACACCTATGTGAACACCCAGGTCAGTAGAAGGAAGGAGGAGGAAAGGGGAAAGGTTTGCTGAAGCAGAGACCCCTCTATCCTGTGATGAGATGGCAGAGCTGCCCACCTTGACACCCATGAAGGTCACCAGTGGAATTTGATCTGAAGCCTGCAGAGGACCCCATGCCACAACAGGCATCTCCGCTTAAAGGAGGCCGCAACTCTGAGGAAAGAAGCAGCCCCCGCTGTTGTGGTTCGGCACTGGGAGGACTGCAACATGCAGGGGTGACCCGAGCTGGATCAGCTGGATAACGGCTGCATCCCGTGGGGAAGGCTCACGCTGAAGAAGGTTCATGGAAGACAGTCTTCTGTGAGAGGGGAGCCCCATGGAGCAGGGGAGGGATGTGCGGCGTTCACCCCACCTCCTGAGCAGGAAGGAGCGGCGAGCTGACTGTAACCCCCATCCCCTGCCCCTGCGCTGCTGGGGGAGGAGGGAGAGAGATGGGGAGCAGAGCTGAGCCCGGGAAGAAGGGAGGGGTGGGGAGAGGTGTTTTTTTGGATGTGGTGGCTCTTCTCACCATCCTACCTTGTCTGTTAAGTGTTGTCTTTGCTAGTGTTTGGATCAGTGATTGTTTTCTTCCCCCCAATCAGCCTGTCTTTTGCCTGTAATGGGTGAGCCATACCTCCCTGTCCTTATCTCGATTCTGAGCCTTTTTGCTTCCTTTTCTCCTTCCCAGAGCTATGGAGGATGGAATGATTGGAAGGCTGGGTGTTGCTCAGTTGCCTTCTGGGCTCAAACTATGACCACAGTGAAGGGTAAAACATGCCAGTGTAGCTCACTGGGCTTCTCCTAACACAATGCTCTTCAGGTATGCAAGCTGCTTAGAAAACAAATGGGTAATAGCAACAATAAATTTCTCCCTGTGCTCAGCATCCAGTCCTGAAAGTTCCAGCCAATGGCATTGATTTCTTCACTCATTTCTCCTAATGCTCCCTCTCTGGCCATTTTCTAAGGTACATTTCTGCAGCACAGATGACCAAATAATAGTTATGCAGGTCTTGGAGACAGCCCCAGCTGATGGGGACAGCCCAGTGTGTCAGAAGACCAGGGATTATGGAACTGGGATAATGCCTAGGGCAGTCATTAGTGCACTATGGAGTATCTGGAGAAAATGTAATGTCTTTTATTGGAGATGTGTTTTGGTAAAGAAAGAAACTCTACAGGAGTGAAAGTCACGTCATCCATTTTCCTAGGATTATCTTAAGAATTTCCTAAGGATTATTTTTTCCAGCTTCATCAACACTATTGGCAAGGAAAATGGCATGTCCCTGCTGTGGCTATTGCAATACACCACCACCTGTTAGAAGTGTTCAGAGAGCACCTGTGAGCTGGATATACTATCCGTGTGCCATGGTCATAAAAATATTATGTGCCACTGCCCATGCACAAATCATACCACCACTGCAGTGTGTTTCGATGTTCACTGTTGCACTGCATACAGCCTTCGATATAGAATTTCTGCTATACCATACTTGTCTCACAACAGCAAGTCAAAAATACTCTCTGATTTACTGTGTGTCGCTTTGGTACTTCCCCTTGGACTACTCACCATAGTCTCAAGGGACTATCCCAGTAAAAAGCACTGCACAGATATTCTGCCTTGGAATTAACTTCTGCACCAGGCTGTCATGTATCCGAAAGCAACGGCACAAGCAATATCCATTTACCTTCTTAGTGATCACTTTACCCACTCTTAACCTTGCACTGGCCAGCTGCGCTATCCTCATCCTGTGACTTACAAACACTCTCCATTAGACAATGTTACAGTTATTTAAACTGTTGGCATCACACTCTTGTTTGAAAACTTTTCACATGAATAGGACTCCAAATAGTAGCAACTGAATAAACCTATGATTCCTCCGAAGAAACAACAGATTAAGTAATTCTACCATTATAAGGCAGTCTGTTAGAATAACAGGGTAGTGAAGAGCAAAAATTAGCAAAAAATTCAGGTAACAGCACTGACAAAAAAAATTGCAGTAGTGTACTTCCGCATCCATGAGAGCGCAAATCCTGCAGTGAGTCCTACATCATCCAAAATAGCTGCCCGATGGCAAAACCTTCTCTTGACCTACAGAAAACATATGTTGACATGCAAGAAAAATCACAGAAATTAGATATCATAATTGTAGGAGAGACTGTGAAATGGAGGCTTCAGTGTTTCAAACCACGTCCACAGACCAAAAAGTGGGAAGACTCTTAATTTTTTTTTCCTCAGCCTTTCTTATATTCACAGTGCTGTAATCACCTGGTCGCCTCCTGTGTTTGAGGTGGAGCAACTATTATTAGTTGATTGTCAGCTAGAAGCACGTTAGCTCCTGATCAAGTCAGAGTGTCATCACAAAAGGTCAAAAGACTACTGAGGTGGAAACACAACCCATCTAGTTGACCATCTTTTATTCACCACCTAGGTGTAGATGCTCACCAGTAAGGGACCTGCGATGCTGCTCTTTGCTCTCTGTTGCCCAGTCTTCAAAGTCTGCCCTGCCTTTTCTCCTATTCAGCCCTGCATGATATGCAGCAATTCCCTACAGAGGTTTAAGAGTTTACTTCATTCACCCCCCCTCACAACTCACACACCCCTCACACAACCCCACCCCCAATTTAATTTAGAGCTTCCTCTTCGCTCTTGCTGCCTACTAAAATACTCAGGGGCTCCTGATGACGCCCTGCCCTGTATGCGACTGCTCACCGACGCTTGTCGGTCCCTCTGATATCCCTGGCCCCAGTCTTTGACCGTGAGCTCTCTGGGTCCGGGCTTGTTCCTCGGGCCTGGAGGAACATATTTTTTTTTGTCCCAACTGGTATTGAAAAGTTTCCATTCAGTTCCCTGTGATGCAGCCCCGCGCCCCCTCACCCTTCTCACAGCTTCCCTCCGGGGCCGACCCCCCCCCCCCCCCCCCCCCCGGCTACATCTCTGCCAGTCAGGAGGGGCCGTGCCACCCTCAGGCCTCGCCACGGCGCAGGCTGGCGCGGCCGCTGCCCCCTTCCCCGGCGGCAGGCGGGCCGGCCCGCAGCGGCGGCGGGGCCCAGCCTCCCGCGGGGACGAGGGACGCGGCGGCCGCCCGGCAGGACCGGGCTGCCCCCGCCTGACTTCCGCGGCCGGCCGGGCCGGCGCGTCGCTAGCGCAGCGCTTTCCGCCGCCGTTTGTCTCCCGTCTCTTCCCGTTCGCGGGAGCAGCTGCTGCTGCGCAACCCCCCCCTTCCCCGCCCGCCCGCCCCAGCGGCGTCGCCTCCTCCTCTCAGCCTCTCGCGGCGCGGCCCGGTAAGCCGAGCGGGGCTGGGGGGGGGGGGCGCGGAGGGAGTCGCCGCCGCCGCCCGTTGGGCCGCCCCGGGCCCTGGGGCTGGGGTGCCGCCGGGCAGCGGGGCGTCGGGGGGCGGTGGCGGGGAGCGCTGAGGTGCGGACACCTGCCTGGAGCTGGGGGCTGGGGGCGGCGGGTCAGCCAGTCCCGGGGCGCCCCCGGCGCCTGCCTGAGGGGGCGCCGAAGCGCGGCGGCGGCCCCGGCTTCTCCTCAGAGTTAACTTGGCGGTGCCGCCGCCGGCGGCTGTCAGCAGCCGCAACGCCCCGGGAGCCCGCCGGCGGGCGGCTGCCGGGCCCCGCCCCGGCGGCGGGTGCCCGGCCACCGAACGGAGCCGCCCCGGCGGCGGGTGCCCGGCCACCGAACGGAGCCGGGAGGTCCCCGGGCAGCGGCGGCGGCAGCTGTGCTGCCTGGTGAGCTGCCGTCAGGAGCTCGCGTGTAGGCTGGGTCTGGGACACCGTATTCCTGCTTGTTTAGTCCTTGATTTTGTGGGACAGCTAATGTTTGTACGTGCAGGAGCGTGAAACAGGCGGTGCTGGTCTGCGCGATCTCATGCAAGGAAGAGCATACGCGCTGATCTACGGTTCTCCATTGGCCTGTTAGGTCAACGCAATCTAAACGCTCCACGCTCTCTTGCGGTATCTTGTAGACCTGTTGACTTCAGCAGCATGTAGTTGATTTTTTAGCAAGTAATACGTTGCAAGTAATATTCTTTCCCATTTTTATGTTAACTGCCTTTTAATTACATGGACTACTCCTGCTACAAGAGAAAGAGTATCACACGCTGGCCACCCTCTCTTGTCAATGAGTGGGCTGCGACAGGGAGACCGATCACACAGCTGAACTGGTAGAACAGTTCATAATCGAGCAGGAGCTGGCACAGGAGCAGATGGCACAGCCCTTCACACGTCTTACTGCTTTGCTTCTCTGGCAGCCTGGAGGCAGTTCTTTAAACTTTCTTTTCCCTCTTCCAGTCTAAATTGTTACTTTATTGAGCCACACTGGTTAAGTATCCTTTTAAAAGTGTCTCTTTAAGCAGAAAAACTTTGTGGAGATCAGAAGCTAGCAGAAAGTTTTTATGTGTACCTGAATGCCTTCCATGATTGTTTCTCTGATGAGCAAACTGTCAGCTCCTCTCTGGGAGCAGGAACTTGTGGTATGGACACTTGTTGGCTAGGACAGCTCATCCAGCTTCTCTCCACCATCCTCCTTCGAAGCTGCCACTCATCTAGTATTTTTTCAGGACTTCCAGTAACGAATACTTAAGTTTCTGTGCCCTAATTTCTCACTACAACCTAATTAGTATTGAAATCTTTATGGCTGCAGTGTTCTGAAGTGATCACATGTGACTTTTGAACAAAAACTCATTGAGAACCACCTGTCCTGCTGTACTCATTTTCTTACTGTTACGCATTTGTGAATAAGGGGCAAGCTAGTTGAAAAGAAATTCTAGACCAGGTTTTCAACAGAAATTTAGGGGTTTGTGTTTAGTTCTTCACTTTGAACATTTAAGAATTTTTTCTTAGGGTTTTACTTAATGTTTTCTAGCAGTCTTTTTGAAATAGAATTGGCCAAAACTTAATACATTTTACAGTTTGGATTATATAAGAAACTTAGATATACGCATCAAAGGGGACACGTGAGGGGATGCCAGAAGTGTCCAAAGAGTGATGAATGAACAGAAAGCTGATCAGCTCTATACCATTTCTCTGGCTGCTATGTCTGCTGCTTGATCCTTCAACTATTTTCTGTTGTTTTCTTTGTGAATAGTTCCACTAGCTTTGTGGGGTGTTGCTCATAGGTTTTCCAGACAGCGTGGGAGGAGGGGAAAAAATACAATTCCTGTTTTCTCTTCCTTTAACATACTGATGGGCATGGTAGAATATTAAAATCTTAAGGATCTCATACTGAAATTACTTAAAAATTGTTTGCTGGTGCGGAGTTGTTATTTAATCTTCCAGTGTTTCCTGCCCTTATAAATGTAAGAAACAACATTTTCAAATGTATCTAGTGAATTTTGTGTTAGTTTCCACCTTAGTAAGGCATTCCTCATTATTTTTTTTCCCTTTAAAATTTATATAATTTGTCTGGTCTACTCAGTGCTGGTAAAACCTCATTTTGAGTTCTGCGTTCAGGTTTGAACTTCGCTGTGCGAGAATAGCTGGCCCATTTGAAAGAGTTCACAAAATAGCAGTGACAGCTGAAGATCAAGAAAGCATGATCTGTGAGGACAGAGGGAAAGAACTGGATTTATTTAGCCCAAAGACAAGTCTGAAAGGGAGGTAATATGTAGTAAGTATTTAAAGTTGTAAACGTTCTTGCACAGAGGAAAAGGAGCCATTTTGTTGTCTTATTCACATCAAATAAGGGAAATTGCAAGATAATTCAGGTTAGATGTTAGGGGAAAATTTAAAATAATAGAAGATAAGGTAATTAAGTAGTCTGGGAAGGCGGTGAAATCTCCGTCAAAGGTTAGACAAATGTCTTTCAAGAAAGGGAACTGAGACTCTGACTTGGGAAGGAAGCCTTAGGACCCTCTGCTCCTGGCTTTCTGAGACTGAATCATAGAAAAATGTTTGAAGGACATAAAACAAGAGCCACAGAGGAACACAGGCTTTTTAACACTCAGAAATGTCAACATCCTATTTTAGAGGCAAACATGAGCTCACACAAAGCAACTGATCTGAAAGCAGTACAGCCACAACAAACACGGCCCAGTGCCAAACTGAAAAGGCCCACCGAGAGTGACACTATCTGGTTTCTGAGTGCCAAATTGGAATCTTTCATCTTTATGTTGGCATTTTTTTGCCGAAAGACAAAGCAAGGTGAAAACAAGATACCTTTAAATACTTTTAGATACAAAACACGACAAATAAAAACTTATTAAACTATATCCAGAACACTATGGTTTAACTGGATTTAACTATAAAAACACTTCAGAATCCTGTGCTTGTATGCTTTTGAGTTCTAGTTGAAGTTATGTACAAAACAAAATAAAAATTAATGTTTATGTGACAAATCAGAAGTGTCTCATTTGTTGTTTTCTAGCATGACACATGGAAACCTCTGAAATGTATTAGTGTGCATTTGTAGCATTTCTTCTGCCCTCTGTAAGAACTGCAAAAAGCACATACCTGCAGAATTTTAATAGACCTACAGAAGTCTTCATTTTTAAATTCTGCTAGGCCCGAAGAACTCTTCAGCCTACAGTAATATAATCTTAAAAAATATTTGCACTTTGAGGTGCTTTTTTCCATGTAGTTCACTCTCAGCATTCTAGGTTACACAAAATACAACCTATGCTTTGCAGGTTATTACATATATATTATACATTCATTTCTCTTGTGGATGTGTATTTTTAAATGAAAAGTACTTGCAAAACTAAGAAGAAACTTTTGAAGTATAGAAATAAATTTTTAAAAGCTTTTATTTTGCAGTAAAACAGTGCTTGCTTGTTAGATATTTTTCAAGCAAGGGGGATGTTTACATCCCTTCAAATGCCAGTGATCCTTAGGCTTTGTTTGCATGACTTGAACCATGTCTTTTAAATGCAGCCAGTGCCTTTATCCATCAGTTCTTTATCTGTTGGTTCAGAGGTCTATCACCAGTTGTTTTATACCCTACTCTAGAATCGTCAGCCTCAAATGAAGCAGCTGTTGAACACATAGCAAAACAGCTTTTTTCTATAACAGCATAAGGGGAACAGAATGTATACAGAGACATAAACATTTGCCATTTGAATATACAGATACAGCATATAAGGTGTGCAAGATGTGTATCACTAACTAGTATTTTAGAAAATGGGGATATGGGTGTACCTGAAAAGCACATCCAGGCTAGCCTTATGCAAGAAGTCTTTCAGTAGTTCCTGGTTGGTCTTAGATTTGAGGTTCTCACCGAGCTGTTGTAAGATTAAATTAATCCTAGAAGTGTGTTATGAAAATGCAAAGAATAAATCAATTAGAACAACTTTAAGGTGTTTGAGTGATAGAAACAAAGTCGTTACTGGTAATCATTCTTTCAGTATCCTGCGAAGTCTAATACTGCATTTGTCACAGCAAAGTGGTACACACTGCTTATAAAAATCTTTCAGAGTTAAAACAAAAAAAAAAAGTTATTTATAGAAAGGTCCAGCATTTTTATACATTCCACTTTTGAAATGTGTCTGGTACAGAAAGGAGCAGCATTGACATAGTGAGGTTAATAAAAACTTGAGAGAGATTCTGCTTAAATCAAAGCATTTGAATTGCCACATTTTTCTCATGAACAAGACAGGTTTCCAGTGTAAATTCTGCCTTTTCTGCAAGTATGTCTTCCATCATCTTTTGACTGGCCATCTTAACTTACTTTAAAATATGTTAATGGAATCTTAACAGAAGTTCATTTTAATTTATTGTGACATTGCAAGAAGAGATTTAATGTTTGCCTTAATTTCACTTTATAATCTTAGTGTGGATCTGGTTATTAAAAGCTTCATGTACACTTCAGCTAGGAGTCTAATGTATGCATACATTGTTTCTATTCTTCCTTGTCAAACTGTGTTTCAGACTCTTTACAAATATAGAAAAAGTAGGAAATCTGCGAAAGAATACCTCAGATATAAATGAAAAATAATTAATAACCTCTCTGTGTGTTTCATAGTCTTTGATTCATTCAGAAAACAAGGCAGAAAAGGCAAAGGTAGAAATGGGGAAGATGCGGAAGTCTGTATGGCTCAATAAACCAAACTGCTCTTCACACAGCCTACACTGAGGACCTCAGAGTTTATTTAGTTAGTGAAAACTAAATAAAAATTAAATTGTTGAAATAATTGCAAAATCAGATTTTTGGACTGTGGAAGAACAGAGATTCTTTTAATACTGGTTTTAAGTGTTACACCCTAGCCTCCCTTTCACTTTACCACTGTGAGTAGACATAACCCTAGCAGAGTGCTTGAGTTAAGTGTGTAGATGTAAAAAATTTTCTTATTTGTTTCATGGAGCTATCACGAGAGTAAAAACAGAAGCAGGTGGAAAGAAGAGTTGGAGGACCTTTGGAGAAAGTGTGATAAAAAGGGAAGACTTTGGAAACAGGTCAGGGAAGACTAGAGAGACATGAGAACACAGCAAGGCACAAAGGAAAATACTTGTCCTCTTCTGGTTGTCTTAATTCAGGTCTCTGTTTTACAAGGAAGTCCATTCAGGTCTGTGAAAAGCTCTGTTGCACTAGTAGTACTGATCCTCCTGCACAAAATAATGTAAGGGAGCAAGCCTCCAGGGGCACATTGAGAAAACAGTCTTTGACTTACATTGTTTTATGTTGGTGTTCATTTTTGTTATGTGGCATCATATATGTGTGTGTGTGTGTGTGTGTATTTATTGTGTAGGATAGCAATGACTTATTTCTACGGACATATTCTAGGAAAACTGGAGTTCTCTTTTGTCTAAACATTGAGGAAGTTGTGGTGTGTTTTTTTTTGTTTGTTTGTTTGTTTGTTTTTGTTGTTTTTTGTTTTGTTTTGTTTTGTTTTGTTTTTTATTTGTTGTTGTTGCTTTTGAGTTCTATATGCAACCTGGAAATAAAAACAACTGTTTTGCTTTGCTATTTAAAATGTCTAGGTGGCATGCTCAGAAAATGTTTGTAAATGAAAGTATTCATCTCCTCTGTAGTGAAGAGATTACTGATAGACTCCTGGGTTGCAAGTGGAAGGCATGCGTGGTTTCAACAAGTGACTGAATTGTGTTTTGTGATCTTTATGGATAGGCATACAGATCTGAAGAATCACAAGTTGCAATGAGCAACCAAGAGGCTGGTGTTCTACGTTGCTGGAGATGTAGAAAATATATAGCAAATTCTGTTTGCCTTGCAAAATGTCATGGAAGAGAACCGTCTGAAGTAAGTGTAGCATCTGGAGGGAGTCTGTAACTTTTTCCAGTGCCATTGACTTTAAATAAGGAGAAGTACAAGACTTGCCCTCACTTAGTAATTAACTGCCTGTGGAGATAAATACTAAAATACAACCAATTCCATAGAGAGTAATGTAAACAGTAATGCTAGAAAAGCCAAGTACACAGTGATCACCTTTATGTTCTGTGACATGAAGGCTGTTATTCATGATACATTAACCTACTAGCTTGTGTATAGTATATAGTGTTACCATTTTTCATATAAAAATGGATTCTGTTTATGACAGTTCTAATGTGGTTGTTTTTTGTTTTAATGTCTCTTGACAGAGAACTTTTTGTTTCTCAAGTGTGTTTTAAATACTAATTGCCACTGTGGTAGTTAACTGTGAATCAGATATTCCTACATCAGAAACTTTTCCTCTTCACTTTGAAAAAGTGGGGGCTAGTCTGTGCACAAAAGTAGTTCAGAAGATTATCCTGCCCTAAGTGGGGGGTTGCCCTGCCAGGCTAAAATACCACTGAGTAATTTACATCAACTTCATTAAAATAAACTGAAAAATAATCATACAGAATAAGACAATGGCAGAGTATTTCCTGCTGCTTTATAATGGCAGTTAGTAATCATAAAGAGTTAAAGTCTTTCCAGGTATGCGAAGAAGACTGTGCTTACATCTTATGATCTCGAATCAAAGCAAAAAAGCAAACAGAAGGGAAGGTCTTGACCTTTTTTATTAATGCACTAGAAATGCAACAACATTCTTTTTGGCACTGGAGAATGGTATAATCAGTAGAGGTAGAAACAAAGTGGGATTTGTTTTGAGATCCTGCTATAATTAGTATTATTAATAAACCCCATTTTAATCACTCTGCTTGCAGACCTTGAGGTTCTGGAATATTTTTCATGCTTTATACTTGAGGAATTTTTATTCTGTGCATGGTTTGAAGCAGTTTTTTGGGGTGGGGAAACTTCAACTCCTTTAATGGAAAAAAAGCAGTGAAAAGAAGGAGGTATCTCTGCCTGGACCCCATGGTGGAGCTTTTAATTGCCAGTGGAGATCCACCATCATTGTGCACAAGACTGAAGTAGCTGCTTCTCAAATTATGTAGATAGCAGATAGAAAAACATAATTATATGCTACTTCCTGATCACTGGGAGGCAAAGTTTGTACTGTGATGAGAAGAATAACGTTTTCAGTATGTTAGCTTTCCCTTATGAATTTTAGACCTTCAGTCAAAGATGTAGCTGAAATATGAGTAAAAGAGGGAAATCTCAGAACAAATCTTAAAACCAAATGTTGAAGTTACAAATGCAGTGTGAACACTTTATGTCAGAATTATATCCAAGTTGAAGTACAGGTACTCTCCACAGTTAGGAGGAAGATGATAGCATCTTGTCTGCTGTCATTACCTGGAGAATTTCTAAAAGCTTCTGTCTTCTGTGTATAGCCCCACTTTCAATTTTCAGCATAATGCACCTTATTGCTGTGAGTTTCATAACATAGGAGTCAGTGATTTTCCATATTCATAAATTTGAATAACTGATTTTAAGACTTTAACACTCACCAGAGTTTCCTTATATTTTTAGTCATCTTTATAACTTCACTGACATTCTAAACCATATTAAAATATTTATTACACTTGTATCACTTCTGTACTAAAAGATGGCTAGGTAGTTATTTTATTATCAGTTAGTGAAATGCTAGAGTTTTTTAGATTTTATTTTTTCTTCAGTTGGTCATATCATTGCAGTAAAAACTCAGAAGTTGCTAAGAGTCCCTGGTTTCTCTGCTATTTATTCTAACAAGCGTTAGAAAATGAATTTAAAACTATTTGTGTCATAATTGTACAGTGCTGACCACAGTCTTCATATAAGCTAGAACTTAAATTTTCTTGTCTTTACTAGAAAATTGTACCATCTGATAGTGCTTCTGAAATCAATTTCCGAATATAGTTGGAAGATCAGCAATTACAGACTTTCTGTTCTTGTAAACAAAACAAAACCACCTCCAAACGCCTCCGTCTTCACAGTAGAGTCTGTCCAATGTCCTTAAATTCAGAAATAGAAAATTATTGACAGCATCTACCTGATTTTTAGCTTAGAGAATGCACCAACATCTTTATCATTTGTTAATTAAATATTTACTGAATTTGGAAAGCTGACTTCTGGCTATATTAAAACAAAAAAAAACCTTACATGAATGTTGAATATCAAAACAATAATTATTTTTTTAACAGTCATCGCAACCTTCAGCTGCTGCTCAGGGGTCTTGCAATGTATGGCATGTGAACTTAGGAGCCATTCCAGAGTGGGTGAAGTGTATCATTGAAAAGGTACATCTTTTTTTGTTTGCATCTTTATCATTCAAAATGTGTAATAAGTAAGGGGAACAAATTTCAAGGGCACTTTTCTGTCAAGGTCCACATATATTACAGATATCTTCTAACTGACAGAATTTTTCTCAGTAACTTCTACCATTACCATTTACAGAGGCTTTTTTCCCTCTTAAATGTTTGGTTTTTTTTTTTTTTTTTACGTATGCCTAAAACCTACAATGATAAATTATGTTCCTGCCCATTTATAGATGAATATATTTATGTTTGTCCAAATAACTGTCATGGTCACCTCTGAGTATTTTGTCAATGCTTAAAATTATATGTATTATCTAGGCTTTGGGTTTTGGTTTGTCTTAATCATCGTATCCTGCAGTACTAACACATATGTTGGCAGTGACAGTAAGAAGCATGTTTCTCCATAAAACTGGACTGCGTTTTTTTTAAGAGATCAGTTGTTGGACTATGATGTGATGTCTTTTATATTTAATGTGCTATTATGTCATATGAGTAGAAAGTTACCTTCCTACAAATTCAAAGGTCTGATGACAAGCCAGTGTCACTACTTTTGATTACAAACCATCTTGTAACTTTCCTGTTGTTCTGATTGCTTCTCTTTGAGTTATTTTGGGTCTAGAAGTTAATGTTGTTGCATAGGTATAGTAAGCAGAAACAGTGCTTCACTTTTACCCTGTGGTTTTTCTCTGATGAGACTTTGATTTTGAGAGGCAAATGATATCTGCATTTCTTTCTGCTTAGACTTCAGTGTCTGAGTTTTAGTATATTGCAAGTAACTTCTGATCTAAGCAAATATACCCTGAAAATTATGCACAAAGAAAAAAATTATGACTGTAAAACTAAACATTAAGAAATTAAGAAAATTTGTTTAATCTTCCTTCATTGTTTTTCTCTATGTTTTATTTTGTTAAACATTCAATAAACTCTTTTAAAAATTAATGATCTCTTATACTTAAGTAGTCCATGACAGAATGGTGTATCTGTTTCAGAAACATTAATCTGGGGGGGTGAGGGGGGTGGGGTGGTGTGTGTGTGAAAATTAGGAGTGATGAGGTATTTACTCATTTTACAAAATTGCCTAATCTTGAATGCCTGATCATAAGGATGCAGTCTTTTACAGTACTTTGCACTTTACATTATTTCAGTAAAATTGGATTCAGTAGTGATACTAATATTATTCTTTTCACCTTTAGCTGTAAATGGCCAGTCTTCTGCAAAACCTAGAAGCTCAGGTTGGAAACCCGGGAAATACAAAACCCATAGACTGCTCAGAAAAGGTTTAACATACTTGCTAAAGATTGCAGAGGAGCAATGATCCTCTGGTGGCAGAGGCAGAGAATTTAGTTCTCTATGAAGACCTTCAATATCTTAGCGTTCATTTTGTCCTTTAATATCCTGGGAACTCTTGCTTTGTTCGCTTCTGACTTCTCTGTAAAGATCCTATGGGTTTATGTATAAATGTGTGGGTTTTTTAAACAATTCTGACTTATCCCCAGATCCTCCTGGGCTCTGAATAATTTTGTGATCATGTGCTATTTTCTCCTGTGTGACTCCTGAATCAAAGGCTAAATCATTTTATATAAGCACAAAGTCTATTTGCAGGCTGTAAAAACCCACTGCTTCCCAGCCAGTTCTTTTCTGCCATCTGTCCCTGTTCTTAACCAATCTCATTGGGTTTCTTGCACACATTAATGTATAGATAATCGTCAATAATCATAAATATCTAGCTGGTGCTGCTAGTGACCTTTATGACCTACATTTTTTTTTCCCCTTCACTTATCACTTGTTTTAGCCTCTTTGACTAACCCTTCCCAGTTTTTCCTCTCTATGCAGTCCATCATTAAATCTGTGTACCCTCAGCTCCTTTTCAGATCTTGTTGATTTTCCCCCTACCACCTCCTCCACTAGTAGGCTGTTACTTCTACTGAGTCAATGCTTCCACAGCCCGTTGCCAAACTCATGCTAAATCAGTTCCCAACTGCCTTGTCCTGCATCACTTCTCCCAATCTGTGTGCACACAGGACCAAAGATGTCCTTTTTCTTCCCTACCATCTCTTGCATTCCTATTTTTGCCAGGTTCCCAGCCTTCTTACCTAACCATCATGATTCTCTCCTCCTCTACATTTGGAGATCCGGGTTACTATTCAATAGTGCCTGAGTGCCAGAAAGACTCACTGAAGGTACTTTTCCCTGAATTTTAGTGCCTAGCTCATGGCATCTGAGAGATGGGAGCGTGGGAAACTTACAGTAAGTCTCTGAACCAGCTGAATTATTTGGGAATGGCATGTACACGTGTTGGTCTGCCTTATAAACAGAAAGACTGTGCATGTTCAAGGAATTTTAAGAGATTTGAAAGCCTTTGGGCATAGGTAAACCGAGATATTTTTTCTCTTAAATTAAAATCATGTCCAGATTTAAACAGATTCTCATAGATGCAATGAAAGGCACATCTTTGATACTTTTGAAATTTTGAGGTTTTAACCCATAAGGCTGAAGTAAGTTTCTCAAAGAAGTGTTTTCAGAACTTTTTCTAGCATTTCATATAAAAGATAACCTTTTTTTCTGCAGGAGTTTTTTTTCTGAAACTGCAACACTATTTTTTTTTTTACTGAAACTTTTTGAAGCTTTCAATCAAACATCAGTCATGGTATCCTCTTCCCAAACTACCTTGGACATTTACAGCTGAAAGCAATGTTTTAAAAAGAAATGTTGGGCAGCTTTTGTATTCCTGGCTCAACCCAACTTAAGGCACACTAGTGAGTAATGTGTGACTGGAGTTGATAATGCTTCTCATCTGAGCTTTGATCCTACAAACTTTAATCCTCAAAAATGTTTTTGCTGACAGATGAACATATTTACTGAAAATACTAATAGTTGTGCAAATATGTAGGAGTTTATAGATCTTTGATATGTATTTTCTTTTGAAAAAGTACTTTTAGGATTGAAATGAAATTCATAGAATTACAAATAATGAAAATAACTCACTCCTTATAGGTAGAGTATTAAGGATTTGTCATGGTATCTGCACACAGATTATGTTGTAATACTACATACACAACATACAAGTACTATTTCAAGCTTTCATGGAGTAAGCAAAGTAAAAAGCTATATTCTCTTTTTAAGAAATCTGCTTCCACTGTAGTTAGTATGCAAGAAATGTATCAGCACTCAGAAGACTCAGCTGAGAAACTGTGCTTGCCAATTCCAGATTAACATGGTAAACTGATTTCACTGCTTTAAACGCTCTAATGTTTTTGTTGGTGTTGCGACATTATTCTATCTATGTACAAACTGTAAGCATATTTCAAAGCCCCTACTTTTTGAAACATGTATTCTAGATTTCTTAGAATTAGTTACTACTGCAGCAAGAAGTTCTGGCCAGAACATTATTTATGGTGGATATTCTTTCTGCTGTGAAGTCTCTTTTATTGTGTTTGAAAAACAAAAAGTAAACCCTTTTATTCAAGGAGAAAAAGTAACTCTAGTAATGATTTCTTAATATTTTATTTACAATTAATGTGTTTGGTGTTGTTTTTTTTTTTTTATTTTCTTGTCAATAGGCACAGTGGACAATTGGAAAACTGGACTGTCTGTTCTGTGAGGCCTGCTTAGGGGGCTTTAACTTTGTTTGCAACACAAAGTGTTCCTGTGGACAGTTAGTAAATATACATTTCTGCAAAAGTTGCACTGACTATCAGCCAGCTTTCTCTGTTAAATTAGCAAAATCATCAGGAAAACACTTACCTCTCCTCAAAATTCAGGCTGGTTTTAGCAAGGAAGCCTGCCATGAAGTGGTAACTGCAACTTTGGAAATCAAAAATCAAGCACTTTCATACATGGCCAGAAATAATAATGGTACTGGCAGATTAACAGAAGCACTTTGTCTAGAAGTAAGAGCTCCCAGATTTGAGATGAAAAGTAAAAAACTTCCCTTAAAGGCGTTAAATCAAAAAAGAAATCTTTCTGCTTCCTATCCTGTGAATGATGCATGCACTGTAAAACCTTTTCAAAGAAGATCACGTAGCTTGGACTTAAATATCAGAGAGCGACTTGTTTTGTTACCTGCCTTATATGAAACTTGCAGTATGGGGACAATTTACCACAGACAAAATGAAAATCCACCTGTTTACACACGACGTGGCTTGCAATTAGAGTCCAATGTGAAAGAAGTTAGTTCTTTTCAGGACCTATATAGTTCCAGTGCTGACAAACTACAAAAAAGTTTTCGAGTTACTTCCTTTACCACATTACTACATAGAGAAAGAGAAAGTGACTGTGATTTTGAAGCTACTGGACAATCTTCTGGGAGTGCCATTGCTGATGGGTCAACTTTTGTGATGAACCTTTCTTCACCTACACGTGCTGCAGAAGAGGAACAGTACATCACACCTGTTGGTCTTGTGCATCCTGCGAGTATTTCCTTCAACCAAAAGCTGAATAAAAGAGAAAGAAACAAGTTGAAAAGCTTGAGGAGAAAACAAAGAAGGCGAGAACGGTGGCTACAGAAGCAAGTAGGTGTTTAAAATTAATTATGCTACCTTTTTGGTAAAGCTTGGCTTGCTTTTATAAATCATTCTGACTTTTTTTTAAATGCTGTCTTTTAATACTGGTTTAATGTGGTACTGTCTGGAGTCAGGTGCCCAGCAAAGAAGGATTTATGACCTCTTCCTAAATGTAGTTCAACCCAATCAGTTTTTTTCTGTGTAAAATTATACTTTGGTGGGTATATATAACTAGTTTCTGTTGGCCTTCTTATTATTTTAATAATAAATTTGAAGTGGGAAAAATGCAGTAAAATTTAATCAGTGTGATTAAAGGAAAACTAAGCATTCAAACCTTCTAAATGAGAAACCCTTGCATTTCAGGTTTTCCTAACTTTTAAGTAATGGCATTTTGAGTTAACTTCACAGTTAAGAAAAATTATGTTTTAAAAGATGTTTGCATTTATTATTTATTGTAACACAGATATTTTTCTTTGAGTAAAGAATTGATTGTTGCTATTTAAGATATTAGTCATTAGTAGGTAAATATTTTGTCTACAAATGTAACAGAAGTGTTACATATTCTTATCAGTTATACAACTATGGCTTCCTTCTTCAAACCATCCAAAGCAGAACAGAATTAAAAACCATAGATGGTCATGCAATTTTTTGGGGGGGGGGGAGGAGAGAAAAACCAAGACTGTATCTAGAAATTAGTAACACAGTTTTTGTTTGCTCTTGAAATTCAGTAGAAAGACTAATGATATGTATGCCTTTAAAAGAAAATTTCTCGTCATAAAATTCCTGCTACAAAATACTGTGCAGCCGGCAAGAGCAAGTATACTAACTCTCATCAGAGTAGCTTGTAATCAAGAAATCATTCCTACTTTGTGTAGGCATGTCATTGTGATAATCTTGGAATATTGCACAGATGAAGTGTAGTGACATGTAAAGCTCGTGTAAGCCTTATTTCATATTTTTTTTTAATGTCATTGCTTTACATTTTATAGTAGTGAAGTCTACTTTAATATTTATGCCTTATAGAGAAATACTAAACTTGTTTAAATGGACTGTGCTTAGGTTGGCTATTAAATTGTTTTCACTGATTTGTATTTAGTGCAGTAGGGTATATAGGACCAATAGTTCATGTATGGCTCTTTCATTAGTGCTTTGTACCAAAATGATTTCTACCCTTAGTATTCTGATGTCCTTATACAGTTCCACTCTGGTCAGGTACCAAATGACTTCAAGCTATTTCCTACATACGGTCTACAGAGACTTTAGAATATAGTACAGAATTGAAGCAGAGCAGTGAATTGAGGATTGAGAGAGAGTCTGTCTCTGATTTAAATGTAAGAACCAGCTTGAAAATGCGATGGGTCTAGCACATATTATGAGAATTTTTGGTATGGCGTGCATATATTCTTTTGTCTTGGGGAATGTTTTTTCTTTTGTTTAAAGGAAGATTTAAATTGACATAGTGATATTTTGAAAACTTATTTTGTAACATGCTTCTCTGAAACTGAGAGGAAATAACCTTTCTGAATCTGAATGTCTTAATATTGAATACTTGTTTTCTAATAAGTCTAAAGATTCTTAGGTGTCTGAGTCCCTAAAATCGCTTCAAAAATTCCAGGCCTCATTGTTTCTGTTAAATGAAATGATGATGAAAAAGCACAGTATATATGAACATCTGCATAGTCATGTCATCTGCAGTCTCTCCAGCCACTTTAATCTTTGTTAGATGTTACTTTCAAGAATTAAATGTTGTACAAATATTCCGAATTTTTGATAGCTAAGAAAGAAAAATATACTTTCAGATCTTTTTTGTGTTAAACCATGCTTAATCAGTTCCTACGTTATTTTTAAGTTTCATATAACAAATGATACACAGTTGTTAAATATGGTACGTCTAATCAGTAAGCATACAGTTTGCAAAGTACAAAAAATTTAAAAATATGTAAAATAAATCATCTGGTTTCAAGTAGTAGTTTTGAGGGGAAGACATTTTGGTTTTGCATTAATTTCTTTAACTTTGGTCAAAGTCTGTGATCATGGTGTGGAATATTTAAACAGGACTACTTCTCAGACTCTGTCAAGCAGCACATGTGGCTAGTGCAGCTGTGTTTCCCACTGCTGTAGTATCCTGACATGAAAATGTGGGTCTAGAAAAATGCATCCTTTGTACAGCCTGACATGCTGCAAAAGGGGATGCTCCTCTGCCACACACTCCTTTTTGTGGTTACTCCCCTCCCATGTGCCAGTCTAGGTATCCTTCCTTTTCTTGCAAGTTCCACTTGCTGGCCTTTTTCTTCAGTGTTCTGACACCCCTCTTTGTAAATGTGCATTTTATTACAGTGGTACTTACAATAGGAAGCTGATCATGGTACTTTGTATCCATGAATTCCAGCATACTTACCATGTATGCTTAATCAGTCAAGTAGCAAAACTTAAGAAAGAGAAAAAGCATAAACCTCTGAGCAAATAGAGTGAAAGAATTTTGATAAATGACAATGGGAAGTATTTAATTTAAGTGCTCTTTTAAGAAGTACTTCCATGCAACAGAACCCTGATGTGAAGTGAATCTCTTCCAAGCTCTCTCTGTTAATGGTACTGTGCATCTCATTTTTATCTTTAATTAAAGCTTTTCTGGAGAGCTCTCTGACAGAGCAGACCTGTTCAGACTCCAATTGCTCTGTAAATGCATAAGCTGCTTCTCTAAGTTTGTCAAACGTTTTTTCTGTCTTGCATTAAGCCAAAATGTGCCCATAAGCATTGTGTTACGGCGGAATGCACTCTTATTAGTTAAATTATATAAACCTTGGATTGTAAATTGGAGCAATCCTGTGAGCTCCTGGTCCACACTTGCTGCCAGAGGCCAGTGCTGCTGCAGGCTCTGTGGTGTCGGTGCGGGACTGAGCTGGCCAGCTAACAGTAGAGGGACCCAAGGTTCCTCTCTCTGCTCTGCATGGGAAAGATCTTAATGCCTGTGAGGGGGATACTTGCATTTTGTGTATGTGTGCATGCACACTTTTGTTTGGGGGATATTTTTAGGTTTCTGGTATATTGTTAGGGTGTAATAATAACTGCATAAGTTTAGGAATTGCCAATATTAATAATAGTTCTTGTTATTGTTGCTATAGCTAAGAAGATTAAGTATTTCCGTTATAAATTCCCTTTTGTGTATATCTTTCTGTATGTTTGAATTGTTTGCTAATGTCTGAAGCTTGTAATAATTTCTGACAGATCTCAGACGTAAGTACCACTTGAGGTTCCATTAGTTTTGTTTTATTTAATTTCTCTTCACAAATATTTTACACAGAAGACTATGTAGCCAGCTTCAGAACTGCAGTATCCTCTTGGAAATTATCCTGATCCATCAGAAAAAAATACTGCTGGCTTTTTTGCTTCATTTTGTAGCTTGACACTTCAACAGTTCTTCTGTATTTGTCTCACAAAGGTGACTAGTGGTCATTTTCCATGAAGTGAGTTTGCTTTCATGCTCCCAGTGTTAATCTGAACTACAGATAAACAGGCTTGCTGCAGGGTGTTACACCTGCATCTTGTTTATGGGCAAAGAAGAAACACACATTGTGCATATAAAGCAAATAATTTATTTTTCATGTAACTGAAATCTTAAGAGTGTGATTATTGTTAGTCCAGATTTAATTGTTAAAGAAAAGAGAAATGTATTATTGTCATTGAGACTGTTACATGCACTCATTTGTTTCTCTCCACTTCCTGCAATTCTGCCCATGACCCTCCACCTTGGGATCTGAGGGCTGGCAGCAGCCCTTGGGGTCTGGTGGGGGGGCATGTTACTACAGCTTGCCAGCCTCTGGAGTCCTTTGCTGGGAGTAATATGATGTTCATGTTGATGGTTTCTTTTTCTTTACTCCAGAATACCTTTGCTCTTTCTTCACTGGTTTGCAGCTTCATGCTACATCCAAATTACCTTATGTGGTGCCTTTTATATATATAAGATGCAGTTTCTTTGTTCTCTTACCCTTAAAACCAATTCTGTTCAGGCCCAAGTCTGCATTTCTGTAACAGACCCCTGGGAAGTTGCACATAACTGTTGTGGTCGCCAGTGCCAACCCAGTGCCCCATCTGATGTGAGCCCATGCTTGTACTCCTCTGTGTTGCATCCTGGGTCTCCATTTGTCAAGGCCTCTCTTATCTTTAGTAGGCCTGTATTTCTTTGCACTACATCATTGTATTAGAGTTGTAAATATGCCATTCTACATGGAATAACCGCTGTCAGTAGTTGTACATCTGGTCAAATTGAGAAGTTGCTGTCATAGCTGAACCAAGTCAAACCAAGCAGCAGGCTGGGCGAGGGAAGTTCAGCCTGAGCAACCATGGCCAGCCTCAGCCCTGAGGCCTGGCAAGTTTAGTGCAAGTGTTGCAACTGTTCCTAGCAGCAGCAATACTGCATTACAGGGCTACGTGGTTACAAGAAGCAGTAATCTTTTTTAACTAGCTAATACAAGGAGGGGAGGAATTTTGGCCATGAGAAGCTTCTGGGCCAAAGCTTGTATATCTTTGCTTTTGCTTTGGCTGTAACTATTGTTACTACATGGTGAATTTTGTAATTAGGGGATTAATTCTGTCACTGATTATAAACTGGATTAACAAGAAGTTATTAAGAATGATGGATTCATGCCCAAATGCATGACTTACCTTTGTTAAATCTGCTACTTCATGTGCCATGCCACAATTGGTAGTTAGTATGCTAAGAAGAGGCAATGGTTTTCACTTTTTGTGCTTTTCTAGCATCCTGGTAATGTGTAGTTTTTCTGAATAGAGACACACAAAGTCTCAAAATGCAACCACCTCTACCTGAAATAGTAATGTTGTACTGGTAATGCTACAACCCTGAGGATCAACAGCTGGTATAAGGTGCCATGCCATGGATAAGCTCCTGATCCATCCTTGCAGAGATTGTATCTTGCTGGACAAAAGCAACACAAGAAAAGCTGAGCCCAGTGAAGTGAGTTACATAATTTATTGTTGACTGACAAAAAAAG